AAAAGAATGTCAAGGACATGAGTGAGGAGAGTAAAATGGTAAATAAAGTGAGCTATCGGGGAAATCGAAGAATGGTAAAAAAGTCAACGGAATCGGAAAGGAAATGCGGACGGTGCGGAATGAAGAATCATAGCTCTGCGGAATGCAGGTATAAAAACGCTAAGTGCTTCAAATGTAATGAAATTGGTCATCTAAAGTCGCAATGTAGGAACAAACAGGGGCAAGGCCGAGGTAATGACAACGTAAGGAAGGAAAACAAAGCCACGAAGGGCAAACAACCTGTACGCTTCGTAGAAGAGAGCGTTAACCAAGACGACGACTACGAGACGCCGAGCGAAGTGGAAGAGAGTGAGTCGGATACAGATCCGTACGACCCAGTAAATGCAGTAGAGATCAACGAGGACGTGAAGAAGAAGATTAAGGTAGATCATCAAGAATTTACRGGAACGATCAAGATACCGATCTTAATGGAAGGATCAAAGGTAGAAATGGAGCTAGATACCGGAGCAGCAGTTTCCATCATGACAATGAAGGATTACGAGAAATACCTTCGACATATTCYGCTGAAGAAGACAACGCGAAGCCTTCGCGGATATGCGGGAACACCCTTGAAGACAGCAGGAGAGATTCTGGTAGATGTCGAATACCAGGGACAGTCTGCAGCTTTACCGATAGTCATTGTTGAGGMAGACAAGTATGCTCCACCCCTGCWGGGACGATCCTGGCTCAGAGCCATCAAGCTGGACTGGCAGAACTTGTTCACGCAAGTGCATTACCACTCGAGGTCGGAACCAGTTGAGGAGCTGAAATCGAGGTACGCAGATATCTTCAAACCAGAACTAGGAACTATACAAGGAACGAAGGCAACCTTGCATGTAAAACCCGATGTTGCACCAATTCACCTGAAGGCACGCCCGGTGCCATTCTCTCTTAGACCAGCAGTCGAGAAGGAAATCGACAGGATGAAGCAAGAAGGAATCATAGAAGCTGTAGAATTCAGTGAGTGGTCAACTCCTTTAGTGGTTGTACCCAAGACCGACGGAACGGTACGTCTATGTGGGGACTACAAATGCACCGTGAATCAAGCAATTCATACAGAACAATACCCGATACCAACACCGGAAGAACTCCAGACCAAGATGGCAGGCGGAAAGCAGTTCTCGAAGATTGACCTGAAGTGTGCGTATCAACAGATGCTACTCGACGTGGAGTCCCAGAACTTAGTCACAATAAACACGCCTAAGGGACTATTCAGGTATACGCGCTTACCCTATGGTATATCGTCAAGCCCAG